CATAATAATAATAATAGTTTGAGATTGTTTACTAATATAAATAATACGAGTATAATAAATAGAAGAGCTGCAATGCACACCAATAAAGATGAGAACGCTAGAGAAAGAAGGAGAGTGAGAAAGAGACAATAAAAAAAATAATAGAGCAAGTATATCACAAGACAAACAGACACCTCTTAATTTTTCGCAGCGAATGGTAGTAGGCCATGACCGCCTGTAGATTTTTCCACCGTTGCGCTCCTACTTTTGCGGGCTTCTTATCGTCAAAGGGATTTTCGTAGCTAGTGTGACCTCTGAAATGAATTACATCTAGACAAAAGGCAACAAAGGGTTTAATTAATTCAAGGACGACTACCCTTTTTCAGATTCTGCTTTGGTAGTAATAAATCCGACAAGTGAGGATTCACCCTATTATTTATGTATGTATAGAGACACTGGTGGCGAATTAAGAACCGAACAGGGATTTTCTGTTCGAACAAACAGTTGTGATTAAAAAAATATATTCTATATTTCATTACTGTCAATGCCACCTTTTAATCTATAGTGTATCGGCGACGCGATAAAGATCATCATAGATCAACACGATTAAAGACAGTACTGTAGGGATAGATATACAGGTTAAAGATAGCTTTAAATAAAATGGGGACGGTATTAACAAAACAGTATTGTATGAAAATAAATAAAAATAAAACAAAAATACTAATATGCAAGGGCAGAAGANTGGTGAATATGACAGATGTTTAACTAATTCGAAGCCCGCTTTAGTTACTGTAACTTTGGAATGACAGATTATTGACTGGCTACATTATCTGAATGCAAGAGGAACTTATACGCAACATCTCCAACGTTTTTCTTTTATCAACTGCCGTAATCACAGGATTTATAACAGGTCCAGACTTTTAGTTTGTAGCATTACCAACACCAAGACTGAGACTATATCAGCAAGACGAAGGTCGAGATGGCGACTACAAATGCAAGACCAACACCAAGACGGAGACTATATCAGGAAGACCAAGGTCAAGATCGAAACTATACCAACAAGAACAAGGTCAAGACTGAGCCTATATTAGCAAGACCAACACCGAGACTGAGACTATATCAGCAAGACTAAGGTCATGATGAGATTATATCAGCAAGTCCAGCACCAAACTATATTAGCAAGGTCAAGGTCAAGGTCGAGACTATATCAGTAAGACCAATACCAAGACTGAGACTATATTAGCGAGACCAAGGTCAATATCTAGACTATGTTAACAAGAACAAGCCCAAGACTATATTAGCAAGGCCAAGGCCAAAACTGAGACTATATCAGCAAGACGAATAAGCAAGACTAAGACTGAAAGACCAAGAACAATTTAGCTCATCATTAATATTAAATTTTGCGTGCACAACTCAATTCGAAATAGTCAATCCTCGGGAGACTGACAATTTATAACGCGCACGCCGAGAAAAAAAAAAAATGGAACGCGGCCAAAACTGTCGGTATTCGGCGCGAAAATAAAATGCCGGAGTTAGCCAGTTTTATCAGCGTTTCATTTGATCTTTTATGTGTGCAGTAACGGGGTAAAGCCCACGGGCGCGAAATTCGTGTTGCTGACAATGGCAATTTCGAGCAGCAGCAGCAGCAGCAGCAGCGCAGCAGTTGCCACGAGAGTGCAATTATTCACGGTCCCTCGAGAATTTAACAACTTCTCTTTGCACTACGATTTTTTACGACTGACAATTCATAAAAGGATTTTCCTTTCAGTTTTCTAACGCCGATGCAAACGAAAACCTTCTCGTTAATGAAACGATAAAGATATTTCAAACTAAGACAAATTTCTGATTCTTGGTCAGTCATTTATCGATACTGCTTCATGTGGATCTCAGATAGGGCCATGGGGTCTCTCGATTAAATCACCAACGGAGCCAAAGGTGTTCTATGCAAACCTTTTTGTGTAACATCGATTTCAGATACCTAATATGTCGCTATTTAGTGATGTTTGCTGCTGTGGCGTGCTGATGGTACCAAATAAGATCGAAATTACCATTTACTTGTGGTAGTATCAGTAAATAACAGATCAATAATTTCATCCCTTCGGTGCTATTGCTTATATCAGCTAAAAGAAACTCACCCTTCATTACTACAACACCTTTTTTGAGGAATGAGCACGTATTTTGGGATTATTATCTTGACAATATCCCAAATATTTTCGGGATAATGCTAGTAGATTATAGTGTATTGATGATAAAAAATGCTTCCAGCTTTGAAGTGGCGGAGCGTGAATTTCTGTTACCCGGGGCGAAACCTAAATTTGATTCCCTTCCTAGTTTAAAAATTCATCATAAGGTCGCCAGTCCTAAGTCTGGTTGGACACGCACCTTCACTCTTTCCTATCCTGAGCTAATCTTCGCCTTTCCCTAAAACTAGAACATCTCACATCCTTAATTATTTGCGAACAGTAATCTAATCTAGGACGTCTTCACATTTGCGCCCCCCGGGGTCCATGCGCGCCCCCCAAGCCACGCCACTGTATCTTTGCAATCAATAATCTCTTATAAATTTTCGGTTTATTGGCAATGATATAGTACTTATAAGTAGATATTGAAATAAATAGAGAGAAAACAGCATGGAATTCTCAAATAAAAAGTTATGCGTTAGTCAAAAACTAGCACCTCCTTGCAGATTATTTTTATCGCTACTCAATTATTTCAATTAAGGTATGAAACAAATGCCACACATCAAATTTTCATTTAATAATTAGATACCGAGTATATAGTGTCATGCCTACATTAACATAATGTGAAAAGCATGCTTAATAATTTCTTAAAAAATGCAGTAAACGAACGAAGATGTAGGAGGATTAAATGAACCAAAAATAATAGTAACCTATTAGGTAGATGATGGCTATGGATAGAATCGTAAAGAGTGCAAAAAGGGCAATGTTTTAAGTGTATTCAAGTAGAAAAATTCATATTTTGTGAAATACGACTTCAAGAAAATAAAAGAACAAGGTGGAAATGATGTAAAATGCTATGAGGGTTACAGTAGATTTAACCACATTGAATCAATGAGTTCGTAAATCTCAGATAAAAGTTGGAACTACGAGAGAAATCCACAGTTTTCACATAAAAATATGGAGCGTGACTCTTACTGAATAAGAATATAGATGAAAATTCCCAAAATTGAATAGTCACCTAGTTTTGGATACTTCGTTATCTCAAAACCTGTCGACAGGATTTGTAATTAATAACACAAAACTAGTAATTGATTTTTGCTTTGAAAGACATATCCAATTTTAAAAGTCCTTCATTCTAATTTGCAAAAATGTTCTTCTTTAAATGTGTCTTTATGTTCTTCAAGATTTTGTGTTTTCATTAGAGTGACAATGTTTAATTGACAATTAATTTAAAGAAATCAATGAGATGCCAAAGAATAGTACCGAAAATTGATCGTCAAAGCTAACTCACTTACACAAACTTTCGATCAATGCCGTAAAAATGTTGGACAATTGGAAATAAACCTAACCACACAATGGTTTATGACTAAGAAGCTCATGGTCAGTCGGTCAACCATAAACCTTTGTATCAAGAAGACATTTGAGAAAATGAAAAGAATCATGTCAAAAGTTTACCAGTTGACACACGCACACATATTGCTATGTGAAAGGTCAACTTTTGAACGTTGGCACCACACTCATTCAATTATTAATTGCACACGAAACAGAGCATTCTTTTCTGATGGATTTGGTACCATATGATGTGAGATATGATTAGAGATCAATAGATTACTTGATTTTTAAATCGGCTGCTCTTAAATAGTACTTATATATTCTTATTTGGGCCACTGGTACAAAGTAGATACATCGAAATTATTTATTTAAAATTGCCTGCAAGCTAAGACTTTCTTCCTTACTGGGTTAGTAGCGCCTGATTAAACAGCGGAATCAATTATAATAATCAAGGAAGTTGAATTCAAAACCATCAAGAAGTAAATAATGCAGGGTGATGAAGCGGCTTACCTCTCCACTCGCCCTGTGATAATTCCCTGCCATTTTCTATGTTCTCTAATTATTTAAGGAGGTGGGCTAATTTTGTTATTATATTATTACATTATTTAATAATTATAGTTAAAGTACTGTTTGAGTAAATAGATTGTTTTCATCCGTTATCTAACATGCAATTGCTAAATAAATTGTTGACAGAGTTATTTTAAATTATATAAATTCGCTTTTAGTATTAGATTAAAATGATTATATTTCTAAATTACATTTAGAACAATTAGCTTAACTTCCCATGCGTCAAATATCTTAACTAGAATTGTATAGAGGAGGATGCAAAAAAGGACGGAAAAACTATTAGGGGAACTAGCGAATAAACACATAGGAGACGAAAAATTAGAAGAAGTGAGTAATTTTAGGCATCTAGGAAGTCAGATATGTCAGGAAGGAAGGAGTAGTAGGGTTATAGAGCAGAGGATAGTGCAGGGTCGAGTCGCCTTCAATAAAAAGAAGTCACTTCAATGCTCGCGAACAAATGATTTAGAAATTCGAAAAAGATTGTTAAAGGTGTATGTTTTGAACGCGGCGCTGTTCGGGTGCCAAACATGGACGATGAGAGCTACGGAAAAGAAAAGGTTAGAAGCGTTGGAAATGTGGTGTTACAGGCGAATGATGAAGATACTGTGGAAAGAGAAAGTTAGGTTAGGTTAGGTTAGGTTAGGTTAGGTTAGGTTAGAATAGGAGAACAGAGGACACCTTCTCAGGCATGAAGGTCTAGTCAGAGACATATTAGAAGCAGAAATAGGATATAAGAGGAGCAGAGGTAGACCTAGATTAGATTACTGTTCACAAATAGTTAAGGATGTAGAATGTTCTAGTTTTAGGGAAATGTGAAGATTAGCTTAGGATAGGAAAGAGTGGAGGTGCAGTCTTAGGACTGACGACCTCATGATGATGATATATAACATAGTGGAGGCGCTAAGTAAATATATAATGCGTTGCTATATAACGTTTATAATTCTAGTATCTATCATGCATTATATGTAGTAGATGTACATATTTTACGACTATGTTCAAACGTATTATTCAAGTATAAAATTGTATGAAAAGAAGTTTCCAAAATTAGGTGCGTTTTCTCTACTTTCAAGTAATTTTCATCTATTTCGGTAATAAATAATAGATTATTAAGATAATTAAAAAGAAAATTACCTTCTGCATGGCAGAAGAAATCTGCACGGTTGTCCTCAGCTTCATCCATCGTTGATTTGATTTCGTCCTAAAAAGATATCGGTAATTATTAGTTAGGTAAGTCT